TTCTTCTTATGAAATTGATTATTTTACCAGAAAAAAAAATTTGCTAATCGGTGTTTTTTACAGGGTATAATGTCTTCTCACCTATCCTCCTTATTGTTTCTTGTTGTGGGAATTTCAATGGCCCTTACGCCGTGGCTAGCTGCTGGAGGTCAGTTAATTGCTTCTCGTTTTGAGCAGCATGATGTTCGGAGTTTATTACCTGTTGAAAGTGAGGTAAACTGCTGGAATATTGAACTGGCATGGTTTAATTATTCTCATTGGGTTCTTCTATAACTTGACTAATTTGGTAGTTTGAAACATAACTTTTTACTTAATGCTGATTATTATTTATTACAATGTGTATAAATGAGATGAAGATAGTCTAGTTGGTCTGGATATCCTCAATTCGTGATGGTTATCTTTTTCTTCAGAGGTTGATAAGATTGATTCCTGGCGATAGCCAAATTAGGTGGGTGAGGTGACCAAGTTCTCTAATTCTATATTTTCCTTAATAGTAAATCTAAACTACGTGGTAAGTTAAGACTTCTATAGGAGATCACATCCCCTCTCTCCCTTCTGTTCATTTTGGGGGGTGGATGTGTCAGTCCTTGATCTATCTACAACAATTTCATTAAGGGAATAAAATTGTGCAAAGGGCAATACGCATAACCCAGAAAATCACAAAAGAATCCTCAGAAGAGAGCTCTAAGTGGAGAATAGTTATCAACAATCTACTAATGTTGTCAGAAAAGACCATATTAAGGCCGAAGCTATCCGGCAACCTCCACCGAACTAATCTTGTAAATGGGCAATCCTGAATGAGTAATTTGTATCTTCCTTAGCTTGTCTGCGGTGCACACATCAACTAGGAAAAGCACATCTATAAGGCTGCCTCTTTCAAATTTAACGCTGGTACTAATTCCTATAAAAACGAAGCCTTAAAATGGATTTCTTGAGATACTTTCTTCAAGTTCTATTGCACATCTCAGGAGACTTTTCAATGGGAGAAATGCTTTTAAAACATAGACTATATATTTAGTAGAGAGAGGCAGATTTATCTGGGATCTGAACTTTAGAATCTTTAGAACCAGAGAGGCAATTGGGTTGCATTTTTGTTATTTTGGAAGACACTGGATTGGTGATTCCCTTTTCTTGAAGCTTTATTTTCGTGATACTGTACTTCCCCCCCAAACATCAAGAACTTTCATGAAAGCTTGAACATAGACTGCACAGTTATCTTGTTGAGTTAGTGGAGAATGGAGATGCATACAATCTAACCAAAACATCCATTTTCATGGTTTCTTCCTAGGCTTGGACACGTTTGTGAGAAAAGGAGTTGTTTGGTGAAGCATTTTTTTTTTTTTTCCAGTTTTCTTTGTTTGAGTTCAATTTATCATACTATTATAAAAGAAATTTTAAATTGTTAAAAAGGTTATAATTACACATTTTGATTCATGATTTTATAACTTAGTTTAGTTACAAACTAACCATGGCTTTTCTTGTGATTTCACCAGACCGATGATTTACAAGATCACATCATTATTTGTGGATTTGGACGAGTTGGTCAGGTCTTGTTCTTGTACATAGTTGCTAGATAAAAGTTGTTTTGAACTTTACTATAGGTATTATTATTATGACATTAACCACAATATTTTACGTTTCTTTCTTCATCACCCTCAGATAATAGCCCAGCTTCTGTCCGAGCGACTGATACCTTTTGTTGCTCTTGATGTGAGGAGGTATTTGGCGCTAGAAAATAAAATTCTTTTATTGGCCTTACAGAACAACCAAGTCTTATGTCTTGATTTTGTGTATATGCATGGCATTCTTTACCTTTTGGAAGAAAATAAATGTATCATTGAAGTTTGTTGACCTGATTTCATGCACCCACCACTAAATCATGTATTTTAGTATATTTTAAGTTCTTAGGGCCTCTGATATTCTAATGCACAGAATGATACTTCTCAGTATATCCTCAAGAAATAGATGACAGGTTTCTGAGGAGATTATTTTACACAGAACTAGTCAGTTATTTATAATCAATAATTCAATTCAACTATTTTACAAGTGAAGAATGAACGACAATCTTAGGATCAATTTGGAAATCACCATTTTTAACTTTCGTACAATATTTATTTTGAGATTAGAGTTTGAAGTGAAGGTTTCTTGTGTTTTGTTCGTTCAGTGATAGAGTGGCAGTTGGACGTGCCCTAGACCTTCCTGTGTATTTTGGAGATGCGGGAAGTCGAGAGGTAAGGAATTTCATATGAGAAACTATGTTCTTGGCTTTCTTTATGTTAAAACATGTTTTATGTCGGTCACTAGGTTCTTCATAAAGTTGGAGCTGAAAGGGCATGTGCTGCTGCAATAACTTTGGACTCACCGGGTGCAAATTACAGAACTGTTTGGGCTCTGAGCAAGTATTTCCCTAATGTTAAGACTTTCGTTCGAGCTCATGATGTTGATCATGGCCTTAATTTGGAGAAGGCTGGGGCTACCGCGGTATTATTTTTGAATCCTTAGACGATGTGATGCTGAGTCTTGAAATTTTAAAGTACCATATGTTTCTTTTCTTATGATCTAACGTACACGGTATATTTAAATGGAAGGAGTGAGTGGTCTGGTCCATTTATGTTGCAAATTTTTAGTTACATCTTTGCCTATGCTGAAAAACACTTGCAGGTAGTTCCAGAGACGTTGGAACCAAGCTTACAGTTGGCTGCTGCCGTTCTTGCTCAGGTAATTACGCTATTGTGATGAAGTATTACTGGTTAAAACCAAATTGATGAAGTTTTGGTACCTGTCAGCTTTCTAGTCGTTATTGATCAAAGCTAAATTATAGTTACAAAATATTTTAGGAACCAATAAGACTATTAATTTGTACACTTAACACAAAAAAAACATCACAAGCACGAGCCATGTTGTTGAAGACCCGTTGATTTCTTTTCTTCTAAATGTTCCAAAAAATAGTTCTAGTGGCACAACCCCAAATGATTTCAGCTTTCAAAACCACCCTAAATCTGCAAAATCTTGAATTTAGCACAAATGTTTTAATGATTGAGACATCTACATTAATGATCGTGGAGTGAGCCTTTGGCATTTAGATCACCATCCAAAACCATAATATGGGGAAATTTTTTTTCTGTAATGACAAATAAAAGCAATGACAAGTTTTTCTTTGTTAGAAATACATTTGAAGTGTTCTTCATGATTTTTGGATCCTAAAGTTAATTGTTTTCCTTCAAGGCTAAACTACCCATGTCAGAGATTGCTGCAACAATCAACGAGTTCCGATCTCGACATTTATCCGAGCTTACTGAGGTACTTTGTCCTTATTTTCACACATAAATTTATCATTGATGCATCTTCTGAACCCCGAAACCTTCTATAAGCACTAGTAAAATATGGGTGGGACTTGATCTTACAATTGTAGTCTGCACTTGCAGCTATGTGAAGCTAGCGGAAGTTCGCTCGGGTACGGGTTTTCTCGAATCATGAGTAAACCGAAAATTCAAACATCTGATTCTTCAGATGAGAACCAAGTCACTGAAGGAACACTGGCTATATGATATCAGTGGTATCCAAAAAGGAAGGCAAAAATCGTTAAAGAAAAGGGTGGACTAACAATTTCACATTGGTATAAAAGTGTACAGAAACTTGGATGACCACATTTTGCTCTATAATTAATTTTGTTTAATTTTTGCCATGAAAATTAAAATGCTGCTTCCTTATGCTGTGGACTTGGTTGGAAGAGGAACTTTTTAAACCCTCTGCAAGACCCATGGGAACATCACAATTATACACAAAACTTAGATTAAGCACTCTATATTTTGTTTATTATTGTTGTACAGTACAGTGTTGCATTCTGTACACATTATTTGCCAGTTTGCTTCCAATGTTTTTGTATCACATTCCTTTTCGGTTTCACTTTTCATTTCGTTTCTTGTTAACTTCAAGTTGAATTACGAGTTTGGTTTAAAGTGTTGAGTTTAATAGGTCATTGAATTTTAAAACGTGTCAAACTTGTCTGCTTAACTTTTGATTTTGTGTCCGATAGGTCTCTAAATTTTATAAGGATCTAATAAGTTTATGAACTTTTGATCTTTTGTCGAGTCACTCTCTAAACTTTTAATTTTGTATATCCTTGATTTGTGCAACATTTTTTAAAATTTACTGAATTTTGTATCTATTAGGATTTTAAACTTTCAATTTTATGTCATGGACTTGTGAAATTTGATATATGTTCAATACGTAAGAGTTTTATTAGACACAAAATTAAAAGAAAAACACTTGCCTCCTCAACGAGAAATTTTGTTTTCCTCACCATTAAATGTTCGACAACTAAAAAGAGAGAAATGCAAAAATATGAAAATTTTAAATAACGTTGTCAAATATTTAATGATGGTGAGGACAAGATTTTTTCTGATTGAGAGGTCAAATATTTTTCAAATTAAAATATCATTGGTATATTAGACACTTTTAAAGTTTAAAAATTGCACACAATCTAGTTTGGTATTTTTAAAAGTTCAAAAATATATTAGATAATTTAAAAAATTCAAAAGATTAATCTTATAATTTAACTTAATAAAAAAAAGTTGTGTTGGTCGGTATGATAGCTGATTGGCTAAGTTTCACCATATTGATAGCTATAAATTAAAAAAAAAAAAACTAAATTGTTATACGATAAAAAAACTAACTTAATTTTTATGAGACTTTTCAAATTACTCAAAATTAATTTGTTCTCGAGATAAAAGGACAATCGATTATACCAAATAACTATGACAATTCATGGAATTTTTTAAAGTCATCACAAAGATACATACAAAATGAATCATACTTACCGATAGTCTATGAACTAATCTAATTAGCCAAAGTTAAACTCTGTCATTATATATTGTACAAAAGGAAGAAGGTCGGATGATAGTAAAAAGTCAAAAGTAGACTAAATTTATAACTATAGAGATTAAAATATTTTTAATGAAAAAAAAAATAAGAAATAAGAAAGCAGCCGCCGGCCCGTCCTCCGCCGCTCCTCTCCGCCGGCGCCGCTACAAAATCAAGTCTCCATTTCTTCATCGTGAGAGGCAGAGAAACGAAATAGGACTAATTTTTTTTGCCCCTCTTTGCTCCGCCGCGCCGTTGCTCCATAAACCCTAACTCTTCACCAAAACGTGCAGATTTTTCTTACGCCATTTTCTAATGGCGTCATCCATGAAATTCACAGATTGTTCTCCCTCCACCACTGTTCGACTTCTTCCATACACTCGAACCAGGCTCAGAAGCTCCGATGGCGCCGTTCTCTCTCACCGTCTTCTCGCCCTTCCTCGTCCTGCAATTGCATATCCTACAGCTTTCGTTTCTCGCTCTTCCGCTTCAACCTTGCCCGTCGTCTCCGGTACCGTCTCTCTCTCTCTCTCTCTCTCTCTCAAATTTTTTGCTTATGAAAAGCTTTTTAGTGATGATCTTTAAGTTAGAACTTCACGTTTTGAGAATCTGGCTTGTAGTTTCCATCTTATTTTGTTTCTTGAGATAGTGGAAGTTCAGGAATGTTTTTGCGTTGATTTTAAGCAGCTTTGGCGTCAAGTTGTTGTGGTTTTATGGATTAATTTCAGTCACCATTTAGGTCACCATTTAGGTCACCATTTAGGTCATGGTGGCAATATTATGGTCTCTGATCGTAGTTTCTATGGATTAATTTCAGTCGCCTTTTGTAAGAGATTTGTGCTCTTGTTTTCGATTTATTTCAGCTTCAATTTCGACCGAGTCAACTGCAAAAGTGATCGATGGAAAATTGGTGGCGAAGCAGATTAGGGAGGAGATTACGGCTGAGGTATCTAGAATGAAGGAGGCTATTGGCGTTGTTCCTGGCTTAGCAGTCATCCTTGTTGGAGATAGGAAGGATTCTGCAACTTACGTACGAAACAAGAAAAAAGCTTGTGAATCGGTGGGCATTAAATCTTTTGAAGTGAACTTGCCTGAGGATTCGACCGAGCAAGAAGTACTCAAATACATATCGGGCTACAATGATGATCCATCCGTTCATGGCATCCTTGTTCAGCTACCTTTACCTAAAGTATGTTTACTAACTTCATTTCTTTTGTCAAATGTTTTATGCTATCACAATTTGCTATATTGTCTCAGCATATCACGTTTTTTTTATAACAAGAAACAAACTTTTCATTGATAGACAGAACAAGCTCTTCAAACCTAACCAAAATCCACCCTAACCTTGAAAACTGATGCGAACCCTTGGGCTTGATTTGATAGAGACTGATTCAAATTGCTTCGAAGTAAATAGTAATTTAGTTCTTCCTTAGCTCAACCCATGCTCAATGTCTTCCAAATGAATTGCACATTACTGAAAAGAATACACAAACCATCTTCAAACGACTCTTCATCAACTTTCAAGCTTGGATCATCATCATGAATGTGAGAAGCATTACTACTAACACTAGCATCATCCTGTTTGAAAATCTCATTAAAGGTTTTTTTAATGGAGTTGTCATTTGAAGAGTGAATTGTTATCTCAGCATATTACTAGTGGCACACTAAATTTAAATTACATGTTATCACAAATAGGTTGTGGTCTGTTCTATGTTGTATGTAAATTTAGATAAGAATTTGAAACTTGATTTTGCCCTGTTTCATTTAAAACTAGAAACATATTTGTAGCAGTACTATGACGGAAACCGCCAAGGGCAGTCTGGTTGGTAAAAACTTGGGATCTCTTGGTCATATTGGCCTTGTGGCTTTGAGGTCTCAAGTTCGAACCTTCTGATGAGCTTAATACAAAAAACTATTGATATCTCCCAAGTCCGGGTCTTGGGGTAGGCGTCGGTGCCTTGGTAGAGGGGAGCAAAGCTCGTGACTCCCAGTTATCAAAAAGGAAAAAATGAAAAAAAAGGTACTTTGATGGAATTGAAGGTCAAAGATTATATGCCAACTGACTTAATGTCTTCATTGATTTGACAGCATATGAATGAACAAAGTATATTGCATGCTGTAAGCATTGAAAAAGACGTAGATGGGTTTCATCCGCTGAACATTGGTCGTCTTGCGATGAGAGGTGAAGAGCCATTGTTTGTTCCATGTACGCCCAAAGGGTGCATTGAACTATTGCATAGATACAATATCAGCATCAAAGGAAAGAGAGCTGTTGTAATTGGTCGAAGCAATATTGTAGGAACTCCTGCTGCTCTTTTGCTTCAGGTGAGAGATTTTATTTGTTAATCTATTAAATGTGTATCATTCTATCCACAATTTTATTGATTTTAGATTCTCTGTTTATCATTTTGTGTAGGGAGAAGATGCAACTGTCAGTGTAGTTCATTCTAGGACCAAGGACCCTGAAGAGCTAACAAGACAAGCAGATATCATTATCTCAGCGGTTGGCAAAGCAAATATGGTTAGGGGTAGTTGGATAAAGCCCGGCGCAGTTATTATCGATGTTGGAATCAATCCAGTAGAGGTGAGAAAAGGAATTTTACACTAATTTATATCGTTTGTTTTAACTTGTTCTTCTAAAACTATAGGATACCTAGCTTGCTTGGAATGATCTTTCTACATCTAAAGTTTCACTGAGTAGTTATCGCCGTGTAACAGGATGCAAGTAGTCCTCGTGGCTACCGACTGGTCGGAGATGTCTGTTATGAGGAGGCCAGCAAAATTGCTTCAGCCATTACTCCTGTACCTGGGGGAGTCGGGCCAATGACGATAGCAATGCTTCTCTCCAACACGCTCACAGCAGCAAAGAGAACACACAACTTCCAGTGAAATTTTGGAAGTTCATGATTTTGGAATAACCCCAATGTGAGCATATCTTTTCAAGTCATTTTTCAACTTCTTTTCTTTTGGGAGAATTGACTTGTGGGGATTGTCCTGCTTGTGTTGCAAGCAACTGGTTCCACCTTGTGTTTTACTGGATTTATTCCATTTTGAATAATCACAGG